CTCCAAAGGCTCAATGTACACTACAGATGCACTGCCACTATGGCAAAGGAGTGTCAAAACCATATTATAAGTGTATGAGCAATAACTTTTGCCCGAGGTTCTGGTACATTTGCCCACTTTTCTAACTTGACACAGTCTCATACAGCGCTCCACCTGATGACACTACATCAACAAAACTTTGTAATAAGCGTAAAAGGGATGCTGCAGCCCAAATGACTGGAAATATCAATTTTCATATACCGAAGACTCCCATGGTCACACCCGAGACGGCAGGGCAAGACGGAATTGCCGAAGCAACACTTGCATCGACTAGCAAGCATGGCAGCATAACAAGGACTAGTCAAACCCTGTTGGGGTCTAAAGCGTTCGACCCTACGAAGGAGGAAAAGTAGTTCTGTTTCATCAGGAGTAGAGGTCTAATTTTTGCGATAAATTAGGGCTGGACATCTATTCAGTAAAAGTGTGCTGTCTGTGCATTCGTGTTCAGGCACCTCGAAATAAGCCACCTCCATTAAGGGTGACACTGGGCCCCACCGAAGAGGCTGAAAGAATACTGATACTGCCTCAAATATTAGCTAGAGATTGGAGTTCCAACATAAGAATAAGGCCTGATGGCAATGGGCCAACAAGCAAATGGCGAGGGAGTCGCCGAAGCTGATGTCCTCTACCTCCATGCTTATACACCGTGTTCAGGAGCTGGAAACTGACACTGCTTATATAAATCAGATGCATGACGCACAGCAATGGAGATGGCTGTCATCTCAGATGGCCCTTGGTACCTCTGGAGTAGTCTCGATTTCGCAGCTACCTCGTCCCCCTTATCTCATATTGCTTAGCTCCCCAACACTACTGAATGTTAAATTCAGCTTCCTGGGGCAGTTGGCTCTAGTAATTCAGTGGTTGGTATGAGTCCAGGGGAAAATAGAGGGACACACCCGACGTCGCGAAAACAGACCTCGAACCATAGGTGGACAGCGGACTGAGGTCACAAACACACTTTCGCACGGTGACTGATCTTTTTCGGCAACTTGTGTTTTTTGAGTACTTCGCTGGAATCAACAGGGATGCGTTCATTTATATTTATACACCTCTGGTGAGATCAAGACTGAAAATTCGTATCCAGAAAGCCAGCTCTTGCCTTACGAGGGACTCACATATTGTAGCTCGGGTTCATAGGAAGGCGACACGTGTGATTCTTGGCATGACTAATTTATTATTGAAGGAAGGACTAACAAGTGGTGTCAGCTCCCTTTTTTGACACTTTAAAAAGAACTTAGACTAGCACGGAAGTTTATTAGAAGAGGATGGGCCTAAGCTTCAGGTCTTCTATCCTCAGTCGACAAATTTGATATAAAATGACCATTGAAATTGAATATACTAAAATAAGTCTGTGCCCGGGAGTGTGAATCAGTCAATGTGTTTCAAGGTCGTGAGTTTGCATGGATGGTTCTGTAGGTTACTACTTTTAGCTTATTATTTACATACAATTTAACGTAAAATTGTGTTCATAACTTCAGTTGTGCGCAAGCTGGTCTTTATGCTTAAACTGATATTGACTTGATAAGATTTAATTAATTCAGAGAAAGTGATTTGTTAAAGTGTAATTGTGCTGGAGGTAGTGAAACAAATGCAGACTCAGAATGAGTTTTCTTAGTTGCGAGATTAATATTTCTCTTGGTGACTCTAAAGTTGGCTTGTGTGATAAAAGCACGTGATCGAATTCGATCACATGATGTTAACATCAACGACAACGGCAGTACTCGGTGAAGAAAACGGTATGTATTTCCACTCAGCAAAAATCTTGAGCCAAGTGGCATGAGTTATACATAATTTATACGTCAATTCTGATGGAAATAGGGCCGTGGAAGGATAGTGGAACACTTCATGATTCAGCCTAGCGTTATCTTAATGTACAAGAATATGTCGGTCGGTCGGTTTTCGACATAGAACTTTGCACATATGTGCGGCAGTTCAAGTCACCACAATCTATGTAGCACGCAAAGCAAGAGAAGGAAGTAGAAGAAATGCATATTATAGACAGTAAACAGAGGTGTGAGACAAAGGAATAGTGATAACGGAGAACAAAACAGTTTAATTGGAAATCATAAGTCACGAGGAGTGGATGCATCTGCGCCACTGAGAACGATTTTGAGCCATGTCACCAATTGTTTCCAACCATTGGTTTTTACCATCCCGAGGGCCCCAACCAGGAAGTCTACATCTTCCTACGTGGCTTAGACTAACTGTTGTGGATTTCATTGATTGGTGCCATGTTTTCGTTTGACTGCCGCTAGCTATTTTCCAGCCTGGCCCTATATCAGCTAACATTGCCCGTCGAGGAAGGCCGACCGAAAGCTGCTACCTTGACGTGGTGGTCGGGCTTGAACACTGCAATGACCCAACAAGCTATACTGGCTGGAACTTATGTTCCTGCAGGTCCTACCATGCCAGAAAGGTTGTTTGGATAGCAGTTAGACTAAAAGCAGTTACCCAATCCAATCCTATGATTTCAAATAAATCACGAAATATCATGCCGGATCGGTCGGGGCCCGGATTAACAACGACCGCGATTTCTGCTGCCGTGTCATAGGGCAGAAGTGATAAATACGCTACTGAGACACACCAAATAAAAAAGAACAAACAAAAACAGGCCGTGTGTGACCGGCCTCAAGCAGTTGTCCCCTGGGCTCTGCGGTCACGCAACCAACTTCCACGGTGTGGGCAGCCGGGAAGTAACAATCGCCCTCACAATCCGAAGAAACAAGAATATGTACAAGGGAACATGGATTTCTCCTGACGGACAAACCACAAACCAGGTAGACTTCGTCTCAGTGCTGCCCAAGGAAGTGGAGATGCAACCTGCTGGATACAAAGTCGAGAAGGGGAGCAGATGTGGGCTTAGACCATCATCTAGTTCAAGGAACCTTCAAGGTGAAGCTGACATCGTCGGTGGCACAGTGGTTAGGACTGTCGCCGACCATGCACATGGTCCGGGGTTCGATCCCCTGCCGACGCACACCCGATATCTATGGTCGGCCTGCAAAATTTGGGCTACCGATATCCATGCTGAAAATTCCATATTTGTACTGAAAATACGGTGTGGCATCAAGCTGTAATCAAAAATAAAATAAAAAATAAATCATGCCTAAAAACAACTGGAGATAGACCACAATTCAAGTTCAACAATGAGAAACTGAAAGACAACAACAAGGGATGCCTTCACTACATATCAGATTGGAGCAAGGTTGGAGACACTACGTGGCAATCACTGAGGTCACCAGCGTGGAAGAATATTGGAACTAACTCTTTGAAAGTGATGTGCAAGGAAACGTGTACAACTGTTCTGGGAAGAAAGAAAGAGAAGTGACTCAATGAACAACAAAAGGATAAGCTGAGTTCAATGTACACTGCAGTGAATAAAAAAGTGAAGAAGAGTGCTAGGAAAGACAATAGACAATTCTACGACACACTGGCCGGCAACTGAAGCAGGCCGCAGGTAAAAGAGACCTCAGGAGATTATATCAGATAACCAGGTCTCTATGCGGAAAGAGAACAACCCAGATGATGAAACCAATAAAAGAGGCTCAAGAGGACCTGATCACCAAGGAGAAGAAACAAATAAAACAATTGGTTGATCACTTTAAAGGATTCTTAAATCGACCGTCACCTGCAACTCGCCCAGTAACACCACCAACAACACGCACATAACTTCCTTCTAGTGGACACCAGTCCTCCAGCAAAAGCAATAATCTTGAATTCAATCAAGCTACTGAACGCTGGCCGGGAAGGAGGCAGGACCAGATGGAATTGCCTCCGAAGCACTAAAGACGGATCCAGAGACTGCAGCAGATGTGCTCACGCCATTCTTGCAAAAGGTTTGGAAGGAAGGAAAGGTGCCTATCGATTGGAAGAGAGGCTTGCTACATGGTCAATCTACCACAGAATGGCGATTTACGTCTCACTCAGCAAGAACTGGCGTGGAATAATGCTCTTGTCCACGCCAAGTAAAATACTAACTCGCATCATCCTGGAGAGAATAAAAGATGCGCTGGATGCAAAAGTTCGCCCACCGGAACATGCTGGATTCAGGAAAGGCAAATCACTTGCTGATCAAGTCGCAACTATACGCATCGTCATCACAGAACAAAGTATAGAATTGCAGTCAAACCTCTACCTCAACTTCATCGACTTCGAAAAGGCCTTCAACAGCGTTGACCACGAAGTAATTTGGAAATTACACTGTGGCGTGCCTCAGGAGTTTGTTAACCTCATACAACAGCTATATGGCAGTGCCACGTGTCAGGTGACCCACAACGAAAAACTCAGCAAGGCGTTCGGAGTTAATACAGGAGTAAGACAAGGCTGATATTCCTAATTGTGGTGGACTAGATTATGTGTCAGACTGTGCATCGGGAGCGAGGAGCCAGGAATACGATGGACGACCGATGATAAGACTGAGTAAGATCTGGATTTCGCAGATGATGTGTTTAATGTCACACAAACTCAAAGACTTGTAGGCGAAAGCCAACAAACTGGCAGAAGAGGCTGCCAGGTAGCGAAGACAGGACTGTAGATGAACATTGAGAAGACGGAGGTGATGAAGATATCCACTCACCAACGGCAGCAACTACCAGCACCAATCATCGTCAACGGGAGAGATTTGACGGAGGTTTCTTCCTTCACTTATCTAGGAAGCATCGTTTCAACTACAGGCAGTAGGAACAGATGAGGATGTCAAAGCTGGCTAGAATCGGAAATGCGAGATACACCTTCATCAAACCGAGACCAGTTTGTAAATCTTCACTCATCAGCATAAAGAACAAGATTGGGATTTACAACACAGCTATACAGTTTAAAAAGTTAGACAGTTGCGCAACATTTTTCCCTTCAAAATCAGATTTGCTACCAGAGTATTCGACAGAAGACATTTTTCCAGTATCTTTAACTGGAAAGCCAAAAGTTCTGAATATTCTAACTTGCTTGGCACTTTTCTTTGGAGTGAATCAATCGCTAGTGTTCACGTTGCTCCCACGTCTGTAATAAAATTAAATAAAACTAGTTACATTGAACGTACCCGGTATGTACTACTGGTTGTTTTAGAAAAAAAACTCTAAAAGCTGTTACTTAGTTGTATGAATTAGAGTGCATGGACTAGGACACACTGTTTCAGCACTCCTGTACAGTTGCGCAACTCTGTAAAACATGTCTATCGATAAAGTTGAGTGCCGCCGTTAAATCGAAACACAAAAGTATCATAAGCTGGTTGGTACATCTGTGTTCCAAATCCTCTCGAATGGTTTCATGCCATCCCGTATTCTTTTTTCCCGATCGCCGCTGAGTCTTTGCACGACTATTAACCCTAAACATAACTTTATTTCCCAAACAGAAATATGCCATTTTACAGACCTAAATATTACTGTTTCATTAGAAAGGGCATTAAATTTTTATTAGTCTGCATAGGTAAAATGTCAGAAAGAAATTATAAATTTAGTAAATATGTGATGAACTTTGTTCAATCATAGAATAAGTTGCTATGTAATAAATTATATTGGGATTTTACTGCTGAACTTAGTTATTATACTGGTCAATTTGATATGCACGTGGTCATTATAAAAAGCCTTGCTTCCTGTTTTATATACTAGAGTGAATGATGATCAACATAATGCTACTTAATGTAGCGAACTGATATACGCCAGTCGCTACATCGACCAACTTGATCAATTTATCATTCAGTGTTTTGTCTACACATAATAAGCGATACTAGTTACAGGTTAGAGTTATTTTTTTACCAGCTGCAAATGAATACTCAAAGCGTTTGATAACTAAGCAGAAAAAACCTATATGTAGTAGGTTTTTCCTTTGTAACTATTACTTATTCAATCTCCTGTATAACATGTAGCATTGCATTTATTTACAGGTGTTTGAGTAAAATGGAATGGATGCGTAAAGAATAAGCGTATGATCTTGTCAGAGGTAATTTTGCAGAACCCACAGTATTAGCTTGTCCCTTACTTTGATTGTATTTAATTACTCATTCACTATTTCGTTATAGGAGAGGAAACAAGGGATTCACTAAAGTAGTCATAAATCTGTCACCCATAATTATCAATCAGGACGTCCTTTATGAATTGTGTTGAGCTCACTTTTGGTAGATTATGAGTCAATTCATTGTACCGTTTGAACACAACGACCCAAGGCTGTTTTCTCCTGTCTCACAAGCATTTTCCTTAGCTGATCTTGGAAAGCGTTTGTTGGATGCTGCAAAGAACGGAGATGTTGAAGAGGTCAAGAATTTAATAAGTTGTGGAGCTCCGTTCACTACTGACTGGGTGAGTCAATTAACAGCATAAGTCTTGATTAAATCTGTCTTTATTTCATCATATTATCTATGTATTCTCTGAAAGTGTACATGAACCCGTATCACATACTTTTAAAAACACGGCAGACAACAATGAAACATTTTATAATGACTAAAGTGAAATTTTATATATTTATTCATATATTAAGACTTGGTAAATTATAAACATCAAAAGATGCGCCGCACAAAATCTCGTAGTTTATGTGACAGCTGATATACCGCCTGGACTCCCAGATCAAAGCAAGTAGTTTCCTCAAAGGACCACCCCGAGCTTTTGACTTGAGGTCTGATCCACAAGACAGTCTAGCAGAATTAGGAGTTACGTTACCAAAACAGGTTAATATGCCATTCTATCCGCTAGGACTGTGGACCTCATATGCATCATAAGTTTGTAATCAGGGTTTACTAGCTTCCCTAGGTAGACCAGCATGCTCACCAGTTCAGTTTTAAATGCCAGATGTTCGCATTCACCTTTTCACTTCTGAGGAACACCTCCGCTACATAAAGGCGGTGAGTAGAACTTACCTGGAAGGGGCTACAAACGCGTGGCTATACGAGAGAGTTTCGAGAAAAAAGGGAAGTCTACCCATCCTTGACTGTACGGCGTCGTTTATGGAGACATTAAAGTGAAATGAATTTGAGATTTATGTTTCTTCTCAGAGTATGAAACCGCTAGCTGTGTGATGTCGTTGAAAAACTGTAAACATCTTTTCTGTATTCCTGCAATCATACTTCGTTCAGTGTAGAAATTTGTGCTTTCTGGTCAAGTGGATACCTTTTCATTATTCTTGTAACCACATGCATCAACTTACAATTAAAAGCGAACTCTGAGCTGGTTGGTTTAATCGCGAAGCTTTCGTCGTCCTTCCGGACAACATCTTCAGCGCCATATTTAGCACGAAGTGAAATGATTTAAATTTCCTCATGTGTGATGTAATTGCGTCTCCTGGTTACTATCTTCACATATGTATTGACCACTTTCTATTGACTAGGATTTTAAACGTTTTGGTCACCTGATTTACTTTTTATTAATTGGTATACTTCATCTATATTAACGTGTTTGTTAATCGCATTTTCGCTTGAGTACCAGGCCTCTAGGAATTCTCTGGCACTTTTCGTGTTTCCTCTGTTTAAGATTTTGACATGATCCCAATCAAACTGATGACCATAGTTGTCTGCATGCATTGATACTAAAGAATTCATATCATGTCTTTTTACGGCTGATTTATGTTCTTGGATTCTGATTCGAAGGGGACGCCCACTTTGGCCGATATAATGCTTGTTACAGTTCATACAATTTATTTTGTAGATGGTATTAATTTTATCCCCTTTTTCTGTTGGATCTTTCGGTTTGCATAATATCGAATTAAGCGATTTGACTGGCTTGTGTGCTATATCTATATCAAACGGTTTCAGTACTCTAGCTGTTATTTCGGAGATGTTCCTCATGTATGGTAGAATGAACTTCCTTGTGGTCTTAGATGATGGTTTCTTGTTGGTGTTCTGATTCGACTTTAAACACTTTTTGATGAAATTTTGTGGGTAACCATTCTTTTTGAAGACCGTTTGTAGGTACTTTTCTTCCATTTTTTTCAGCTCTGGAGTGCTGCAATGTGTCTGAACTCTTTTAAACAATGTCTGCACACAGTTTCGTTTGTGAGTAACTGGATTATTGCTAGTATAGTTGAGTATTTGATCTGTGTGCGTTGATTTTCTATAAACTTGTGTCTCTAAATCTCCTGTGTTGGTTCTCCTGATTAAGACATCTAAAAATGGGATTTTGTTATCTAATTCTTCTTCTCTCGTGAATTTGATGTCTTCAAATATGTTGTTTATTAATTTGTGAGTATATTCTAAATCATTTCTCTTAATTATTACTTAATTAATTAATTAATATTATTATTATTATTATTATTATTATTATTACAGCCGTAAAAAGACATGATATGAATTCTTTAGTATCAATGCATGCAGACAACTATGGTCATCAGTTTGATTGGGATCATGTCAAAATCTTAAACAGAGGAAACACGAAAAGTGCCAGAGAATTCCTAGAGGCCTGGTACTCAAGCGAAAATGCGATTAACAAACACGTTAATATAGATGAAGTATACCAATTAATAAAAAGTAAATCAGGTGACCAAAACGTTTAAAATCCTAGTCAATAGAAAGTGGTCAATACATATGTGAAGATAGTAACCAGGAGACGCAATTACATCACACATGAGGAAATTTAAATCATTTCACTTCGTGCTAAATATGGCGCTGAAGATGTTGTCCGGAAGGACGACAAAAGCTTCGCGATTAAACCAACCAGCTCAGAGTTCGCTTTTAATTGTAAATCATCCACCTGAGCTACAAATCTTCTCTATTACATGCATCAACTATTTGTACTTTTGTTATCGTCTTTGTTGATCACTTTGTTATTACTGTAAATCATTGTTATTACTTACGATTTCATATATATAAAGGTATTTATATTCAAGGCTGAAAAAGACCTAACTGAAAGCGATATTGTTTGCTTTTATGTCTTATCTTAGCCCTAATGATTGGTTTCATGATGCTTATGGGTCATTTTGGATTGACCAACTTCAAACATCTCTGGTGTAAGCCTGAGTTTCGGTCATCCAATAAGGATTGAGTAAATTGTGAGATAGTTCATTGTCTTTATATAAGGTATAAGTTGGTGGCAAATTTTCGATTATATTGTCATGATGGCATTTCTTCCACGCAGTCGGACCAAAGTGAGAATTGTTGTAGGTATATTGTAAAGAACTTGTGTTGGAGCTATGAGCTTATAGCGATTGAAGCTGCAATTTTACTGGCCACTACAACAAGTAGTTTATGATATGATAGGATTGCTTTAGAAGAAATTGGAAACATAGTCTTATCATTAAAGGACGCCTTGCATTGAAGTTTCTTACTGTTTGTTGAGACCTTTTCAAAAACTTTAGTACTTCATTCTAGGGTGTTCGAGATGCTAAAAAGCGATCACCAAATAATCCTGGAAATTTAGCTTAGAATTAATCACTGTGACATAGATACCTTTACGTTCTACTTATTCCTAAGCTCAATGTTATACTTTTATTTCCTTTAGTACTTTGAATTTGTTTTTATATCAACTTTTATAAATTGCAAATTTGATTTGTGGTATAACCAGTTCGCCCAAACAGCTATCCAGAAATCGAGTGTTTTGAACTAATGCAGCTCTTTGAGCTGAGTTAAACCGGGAACATCACTGATGAGCTCAGTCTCAAATGAGCGAAACGGCCGTCCAGTGTTTTGTTCACTTCGATTTGACTGGCTTGCAAGCACTACTGGTTGATGTGAATGGTACCTATCTACTCTTATCTACCGAACAGTAGTATATAACATTATACACGAATTCGCTTATGTATATAATATTGTAGTGTTTTAATTTTCTACAGTTAGGAATATCGGCACTTCATTTTGCTGCTATGAATGGACATCTCAGCTCTTGTGAGGCACTTCTAAGAGCTGGTATCAGTAGAGACGCTCGCACTAAAGTCGATCGTACTCCGTTGCACCTAGCAGCTCAAGAAGGCCATGCAGATATTGTCGAATTGTTATTACGCAGTGGAGCAGATCTTGGTGCTAAGGATATGTTGCGTATGACAGCGTTACATTGGGCAGCTGAAAGAGGTCATACACATGTGGTTCAAATGTTAATGCGTTTTGGAGCAAATGCACATCTTCAAAATAAATTCGAAATGACACCCTTAGATATAGCTGAAAGTAAACACTATAATGATGCTCGTGATGCAATGCTGGTAAGTTTGAGCTAAAATGTATAATTTATTTCTACACTATTGTAAAGTTTTCTTACACAAATATCTATAGTAATAGTACTGGAAAATTTTTAACTATACCGAAAGTTGTTTGTTTTTCACATCAAACTCATTAGCTGTTTCAACCTTTTAGTTCAGTGAACTTCATTGGTATTCAGGATTTTCATCATGAGGACCTTCTGGTTACAAGGCGAGCTCGTATACCATTAAGCCACTGGGACCCGAATCCCGGTGGGTGCGTACTGATGAAGAGTCCCAGACTAGGACGAAACAGCTGTCCAGTACTCCCAGGTTTTCCAGTGGTTCTCTACTAATGTCAGCTCATGATGAAAATCCTGAAACCAATCAAATCCCTACAGACCAACACTTAAAAATTCATTGGTATTCTTTTTAAGAAAAAATAGCAGTGAATGAATAAAGTTCACGATAATGAACGTTTGATAATTTCCTGGTAGGTCTCTGACCTGGATTATTTCAAGAAGACTTCATACATTACTATTGGAAACATTTACTTCAAAACGAGCCAATGAGAGAGGTTCTGTAATTTAACAAAAATACATATAATTACAATAGTCATACAAAAAAGTGTAATTAACTAATTAATTACATGCTGCACCATTGGGACGATTAGTGAGGGATTATCAAAGTGGTGAAATCTGATTAGTGTTCAAACATCTGTCAAAGTGGGGGAAATCTGATTAGTTGGTTGTTATCTTTTGACTAACGTATGAGAAAATCAATATTTGTATAGTTTAAATTCTGACTGTGACAGACTATCGATCTAGTCTGTAGTTATGCATAACGATCGGTTCATTTTAAGATTATGCTGTCCGAGGTAAAGATTTACCAGTTTTCTTAGGGAATTCTAAATATGTGACCTGTTTTGCCCCATAAATGATATCAACAAAACAAGCAGAGTCGCACAACGGTATATTCTATCAAACTGGTTTGAGTAATGTGCTTACTAGACAGATCAAGGTGTTCCAAATGCTGGAAAGCTGGTATGCTCTTTTGGGACTGGGCTTATCAGTCGGTAGAATGTTATCCGTCTGGCGACCCTGTCTTAGATAATCTTTTTCAGGCTTTTTATTAGTGCTGTATGGTAATGAATATGTAAGTTATATAACAGAAAATGTTTCAACTGGCAGAGTCAATTTTATCGATGAAGGCATTTTAGTAGATATGCGAGTACTGTTGTGATTAAAACCTATTATATAACCGATATTTTTTCATGTAGTTGGATGAATTTTAAGTTTGAATGGGTTTTTTGGTGTATATAGATGATACATTCTTCGAAATGTTTTTATAATGTGGCCAGGAAGCCAAGGTTCATTATCTCTGATCACCTCTTTCCATCGATCGATCCATCCGTCCATCTATTATGTTCAGTTGTGAGGAGAAGTATCAAAGCATCAAATTTCTAGATTCTCTTTTCCTTACGAGACAGACAACTGTTTACATAAAGAAGAATATACTGAAATATATCATATCAGTATGAAAAGAAATGAATCATTGGATTATATTTTATATTCTTAAGCTGTATAAAGGAATTACTGGGGAATATGAAGAAAAGCTTATAATGAAGCACTTACTCGGGTAGCTTTGGAAAATACTTATATCATAGTGAGAAGATGAAAATAGGTTTTATTTTAAGGAACTTATACTTAGGATAGATTTTCAATAGAGTTTCTGCGTACAGATTGAAAAAAACCCACTGAATAGACAGTTGTACATCAGCTCAACAACACCTAAATAAAGGGAGTATAAAGCATTATTGCCATTTGATGGCCTCCTGAATACATATAAAGACAACTGGAATATAGCTCCGTACACAGCCTATAATTTATGGGGTTTATCTGCAGGCGCCACTTACTTCTTTCTAATATAGTCAGGGCAAAGTATAAACAAGTTTATTACTAGTGCTATACTATCCCTTTGTCTGGAAAGTGGTCATCAAGTTAAATTATATCGCATGTCTATAATCTGTCATGTTTCGTATAATTTATCAAACAACACTCACGATTATATCTTATAAATAGAGGAAGCTGCAGAGGTTTTAACACAATCAATATGACCAGTCTGTTAGAAGAGTGTGTGTGTGTAATCGCTTTGAATACTTTCATCTGCACAATCTAAATCATTCTTAGTTTAAATGAAATTGAAAGTGCTAACAAGTAATTCTTTCCTATGAAACATTTCCCCAGACTCATTAAAATATGTTTTTCTATATCTTCTGCTGTTAGAAGCATTCGTAATGCTTAACTTTTAGTATTTTACTCATAACTTGACAGGGCAGCACTTTGATCGAGAATAGACGTTTGCAGACGGATTATCTCTGAATTACACATTTTTCATTGCATTGGACTTATAATACACAACGCCAAAATTATCTATTACTTCATCCTCAAAACTGTGCATTTACCGAATTAAACTTTACAAGCTAAAGAGGCATTAATTTATTGAAACGAACTTGATTATTCAAATATATTTGTCAGACATATTTACAATGGCCAATGTGTATAGAAACCAGATATATGCATATACTAGCAGAAACATCTACCACACTAATCAGACATTTTATCTTCTTACATGAACACATGTTTTTTTTCAACTGTGTCGACAGACGCAAAAATAATGAGCATCTAAAATCCATAGACTCTCTGTAGTAGTACTTACTACTCCCTTTTAATGAGATATGAAGTCTGGTTAAGGTTGTTCATTATTATTATTCCCTTGGATTCCAAGTGGAACATAAGTAGAGTGCTTCAGCAGCACATCTCTATTTCACTCTGTTTTCTCCAGTTGTTTTTAGTTGGCTGCACAATCACCAATAGGCCTTTATCCCCTCGTCACACAATCTCCTCCATGTTACCTTTGGACCAACGCCCAACTCATCGTTTCCCATTCGAGGGTCAGCGTAGCTCGTGTGATGTCACTCAGCAGTCGCCTCAGAGTATATCCAATTTATTTCCTTCTGCATATATATGTTGGACCGTATAGTTTATTGCCTGCTGGAGTTCCTTGTTGCTAATCTTTTCTGACAGGTCATCTGATCTTGTTGGTAAATGTCTGCAATAGGCTGTTGGAAGTGTATTTCGTGACGCATCAAGTCTCTAAATCATATAGAGTAACACTAGCTTGACATTCATACTGTCTATTAATACTCTAGGCAAGAATTATTAAGCAGAGATATTCATTCCTTTTGATTAGGCATCATCCAATGTCACAGTGTGTTGTAGTATGTAAATGTAAATACTGTAAAACTATTATATTATACCATGTTGTCATAGCTTTTTCCTCTTGACAATAAGAATATTTGCCGTACTATTTAACATTTTAAGTAAATGAGGTGGTGACTTTAAGCCAGTAAAACTAATCTCCTATACCTTGTATACGATTTTTTTTAAAAAGAAGCCTATTTTAATCAGTCAGTACACCAGTAAATCAATATTGTGAAAAAGTACAATGTCAGTAATAATAACCGATACAATATTACTGACATATTAGTAGCACAGTTGACTGTCTTTAATCGTATCAAGGGTAATTACATATAGTTTAAGCAACCAGAGTTAATGATAATTATGATAATGATAATATAATAGCTTTATTCCAAACAGTATTTTTGATACAATGTAGAATTTTTAGCATATAATGCAATGTTGCATGTAACTTTGACAGTAAGTTAATAGTTTCTTGTTTAACACTTTTCTGATCACATTAAAAAAATACGTGCCAAATAAGGCATAGTAAAAAATTTTCCACTTAGTCATTTGAGCATAAAGTCCCTTATAATTGCTTCTAGTTCTACCTGATGAAATGCGAGGGTTAAGCTGTTCATAAAAATGATGCTCATAGTAGGATAAGATGATGATGTTCGTCAATTTTTAGCATGAGTTCAAGTTTCTGTCCACAATATTATTGGTAATTTGACTTAGTGACACCCCCCACTCACCTTACCAACAACTTTTAGCACCCTTGAGTAGCCCAGGAAAAATTAAAGGGGAGCAGTAAAGAAGGATAGGCAGATTACAAGAATTAACAAACTGTTTAAGTAGAGACTGAATGATACCAGATTGTGTTAACTTCCTTCCTGTCTGTCTGGATTCAACATAGAACTTGGCACCGAACTGCAGCAATTCGAATTGCCACGTTCCAAATAGCACACAAACGTAGACAAGAAAATGAGTGAAGAGAATCAATAGAGTTTTGACAAGTATAAGAGTGAAACAGAATGAGTAATGGTAGAAAGGAATATGAAAGGTTAAAGAAACCGAATACATCTGCGTAAGCCATTGACAACGATTTTGAGCCATGTCACCTATTGTCTGTCTCCAGCCATTGATTCTTAGAGTCCCGAGGGCCCCAACCCGGAAGTCTGCATCTCCCTACCTGACTCAGTTTAACTGTCAGGGATTTCATGGATTGATGCCATGTTTTTGTTTGGCCACCACTTACTCTTTTCGAACCTGCACCTATATCAGCTAGTAATGCCCTTCGGGGGTGGCGATGCTTAGGCATGCGCGGAACGTGACCTAGCCATCTCAATCTATGTAACTTCATAGCCTCTTCGATTGATTTTCCCTGTTTGCCCAACACTACGCCTAACGTCAACATTACTTACCTTATTATACCACCTAACTTCCTTCCATAGAAGGTTCGACGAAATATCTTGCTAGAAATTAACATGATGTGGGAAGACTAAGAAAGATCAGGGGAAAAACGTAGTCCAAGGTATTTGACATTCGGCATAGTTCCAAATTCACTGCCTTCTATGATAAAACAATCATGGGAATGAACCAATTTGTGTAAATCACTCTTATGTCTGAAAGTGAAGTTAACAATCTGACATTTTGGGGGATTTTTAGCTTAAGATCGTTTGACAGGGACCACTGACTACTTTCTGATAAGCAGCTATTCATTTTGGGACAGTTTGTGATTGAGTTGTGACCGATATGGAAACAATCAGGTCATCGGCATACTTAACAAAACTGACTTCATCAGAATGAGGCAAGTCATGTAAGAAGAAAGAAAACAGAAACAGAAAAGGAGAAAGAACAGCTTAAATTAATATATTATTACTGCTTGATGTGTTAAATAAAAAAGCTGGTAGGAAAATGTTTCTACTTTACTACATTGTGATTTATGTAAGGAATTAAACCAGTTCTTAGTTTTTTTGTTCCAGTTGACAAATTTTGTGGCAAAATTAACACTCTGATGTGGTTATCAATACTAAATATTGCATAATTGTTTCTAATAGATTTAATATATCTACCGCATTTACGAAGTGTATGCTTTATAGTACAACTTTTATTTCCTTTCACAAATTTAATAGAATACTCAGTATGAATTGATACTACCAGTCAGACGGATGGTTAATACAAATGAAAATTTAGTCGATGCTAGTGCTTATATTTTAACTGAAGAAAAAACTTTAGTTCCAGCTGCTCCTCCAGCAGATGAAGTCACTGTCACTGCAACAGCTGAAGAAGAATCAGGCAGTACAGAAAATCCTCAAACTTCTGAGATATTCTTAAATCATAATGTCTATAGTAATAACAGTAATGATAATAATCAAAGTACAGGAGCGACAACGCATAGTGGAGCGAAAAATAAAACGAGATTTGTCAATAGACCAATATGGGAAACTGGAGAGATAGATGAAAATACAAACCAAGCGCCAGAAGCACAGGCTCTTCCCTGTTCTTCATCACACTCTCGTCCAGATTCAACAAGCAAACCAAACATGACGGAAGATGCTTTACTGTCTTTTGATGAGAATTGTGCGAGAGATTTTGTAAGTTCTTTGAGGCCTTTTATCAATGATCCATTTACTTTCCAAAAGTTGATAAACTTTCAGAAAAAGAAAGCTTGATTAGATGTATTATTATTATTAAAACACAAACTTGGTACATCGTAGGCACTAAGAGGATGCCTCACCTAAAATCTCATAGTTTGTGCGCGAGGGCTGAACCTACTGCCCGAACTCCCAGACTAAAGCAGGTGATTGTTTTAAGGGGCCACTTTCCTAGACTTTAACTTGAATTCTGATCAACAAGGCAGTGAAGCAGCCAGCCTTCCAATGGTTTCCATTGACTAAAGCAGGTCCATACGCCATAGGTTTGTAATCAGAGTTTTCCAGCTCTATTAGGTTGATCAGCATATCCACCAGTCCAGTTGTAAACTTCAGACGTTCGCATTTGCTCTTTTACTTTTGTTAAAGAACAGGACTTGATGACTGCTTGCCCCAGGTATTTATAACAAAGGTTTTACAAACTATCTATTGTTCAGAATTTAATTTGTGGATGATGACTAGCAGTGGAATCCAGGATAACGCACATTTCGTCCTATTCGGGACTCTTCATCCGGATTTGCCTGCATTCCCCAGTGAGTGAAGATGTTTCCACCGAGGCTCGAACCCAGTGTCCGATTAAATATCTATTGTTAATGTAACAAAGTAATATTTACCACTTATGTGTGTAAATATACACTAAAACCTTTCTAACAAAGCATACATTGACTAGAATATACAGTTCTATAATAGGTGTGTGTGTATGTTTCAAAGTCAGACTAATTAGTACTTTTTTACATTGGCAGCTAATGTCTTTTGTATCTTATCATAATGTTTTCCGTAAAAGTCATTTTGACTTCATTACATTTGTCATATCCAACACGTTTGTGTTGCCAGTAGACCATCGATCTTCAAGCCTTGAAGTTTCATTAGCGTTGTTGTTTTTATAGAGCCAGTTTGCTAGCCTTCACACCCAACCTTCTCTCTTTTTCTAAGCTTACTAACGGTCAGTAAACTTTGTGAGATTTAGCAGTGTGTCGGTCAGGAGTGGAACCTCGGGTCACGTGCATGGTTGGCGAGTATTCTAGCACCGAACCACTGTCGCGGCAATTCAATGGGACACAAACTCTCATTTGAAGTTATTTGTTTAGTTACAGAAGGAGAAAAGCTTGTAACGACAGAAGACAAGGGCCAGGCAACAGATCCTTCATTGAAAAAATCAAGAGATAGATTTTTATGTACATTGTTATTAGCGTTATTGTAAGCAGAGAAGCCACGTCTTCTGGCTGGTTGTTCTCTTACTGAAGGTTATTTTGTACTGCTTGTGACCGTTTCTTAGAAAGTTGAGCCATGTGTCCGCGAATCGTATTTGCACACGTTAAGTCTGCTGTGATTGGTTGGTGAGTTCCTCAAGGTTAAGCTTTGTTATTGTTTTTTCTCATGATCCCGACTCGGGACGTAAACTGTTGTCTACAACTTTGGCTTGCAGACAGCTCTCACCACAAACTGAGTGATTTGATTGATACGCCAACCTTGTTTTGTGCTTTCATCTTGTCCTTTAAAATCATCGGGACGAATATGACCCCTGGTGAGTCCATTAACTGTATAAATCAAACTGCTAGGTATTATTGCTATGCGAAACAGGAGGGCTTCGTATGCTTTTGGAAATGTGTGGGCGGTTGTTACCTCCCGGCTGCCCACACCGTAGAAGTTTATGCGTGTTATGTTAAATACTTAAAACAGACAGTCAGAAGTCATGTTTCCTCTACTTATAATGAGATTTTATGTCTGAACTTAGCTTATCTTTATTCTGATTCCCGCATCCCTTCATTTATCCATGGTCTCACTGCATGTCAAAGCTTTATCTGACAAGATATTTGAATTACGTAGATGTCTACGATACCTGATATTTATCTTGAACTCGGTTTCAGTAAAATAATTTGCTCGCTTGAAAACTAATCTGATGCTCACTAGCGACTGGCTGCATACAGGAAGTTACCTAAAATTCTAGTGAGAAGTCGTGACCAGCTGGGTTCAGCAAGTGACGACAGTTACTAGCTGATAACACTGATTAACGGTTGCGCTACATATTTTGTCAGTTGGCAGAAGCTGGAATTCACGGGCAATTGGATCGGATCCCAGAGGCTGAGTGGTCCATGAGCTCGTCTTGCAACCGGGAAGGTTTTGAGTTCGAACCCTGGTGGGTGTGTACTATCGAAGAGTCTCAAACTAGGACGAGTCGATGGTTTTCCAGTGGTCCTCTAACTGATGTCAGCTCGTGATCAGACCTGTAGCCAATCATATCCCTGCAAACCAGTACTTGAAAATATAAAGAGTGTTATTCATTTGACCGTTAATCCCGATAATGTCACCCTAGGCGCTTAATTATGAAACATTCACAATGAAATATCACAACTCAGAGAATACCGAGCAATTTTTATCTTCATTCTAAGCTGAAAATCTCTATTATTTTCGGGAAGTATTATTATTATTATTGTTCCCTTGGATTCCTAGTGGAACATAGGGCTTCAACTGCATGTCTCCACTTGCTTCTGTCTTCTGCTGTACTTTTCACCTGAATCCATGTTAGTCCGTACTGTTTCAACTCTTCTTCACACGATCTCCTCCATGTCACCCTTGGGTGTCCCACTCACCGCTTCCCTTTCGGATTCCACTCGAGCTATGGCCTGACGCGCGATGTCACCCAGCGGCCTCCTCAGCGAGTGTCCAATCCATCTCCATTTCCTCCTGCATATTTGTTGAGTGATTGGTTCTTGTCTTGTTTGTTCCCATAGTTTCTTGTTGGTGATTCTTTTCGGCCATCTGATCTTGAGTATAGAATGAAGACAGCTGTTGATAAAGGTCTGCAACAGGCTGTTGGAAATATTCTTTGTGACCCGCCAAGTTTCTGATCCGTATAGAAGAACTGACTTGACGTTTGTATTGAAAATCCGAATTTTCGGGAAGTGAATGTTTCAAATTTACTGTATAATTTTTTTTATTAGATAATAGTTGAAACTCCTGATGGTGAGACACTGTATGTTCGTCAACAGTCTAATGAAGATGGGACTAGTGGCTTGGTTATACTAACCAGTACAGGTGAAGAAGTGAATAACCCAGCCTTAATGGAACAAGTGATGGATGCCATGATCAGCTTGCCTGGACAAGGAATCAGTGATACAGTAAACTCAAATAAGTGAGTGAATCATTGTGCATTTATTTCTGTGCGATATCATTGTTTTATTAGTGAGAGAATTTAAAATACATTACTTCCATTTAACCATTAAATGACACTCCATAGTTTTTATTCATTGTCTTTTCCAGCGTTAATTTTGACTCAGATTTAACTACTTCACCTCTCCAGCGTCCGAAGAATAATTCCAAATCAGTAGACAACCAAACAACAGTTGTGTCCAGTGATTCTTCTTCTCTCCAACCTGATACTAATGGCTGTCAAACAAATTGTCAACAATTAAGTCCTCATATTACTGAAAATGATGATGATGATGAAGACGGTGAGGAGGATAATGAGGATAGCGACAATGAGGAATCAGACCCACTAGTAGCTCATTTAGCCTCGGTGGCAAATCAACCTAGATCGGAGCAGCCAACCATCTGCGTAGAAGGTAAGTTTAATCCCAGTAGATTTTTCATACGGTAATAGTTCATCCACTTATCTAATATGTTACTAATATACGCTTTTTTTTATCAGTTTAGTTGATTATCCTCCCTCAGGCAATCATTTCCTCTAACACCTTGTGTTCACCTTCATCTTTTATTTTCTAAAACTCAGTTCCCAGAACAAGTCTTTCGCATTCCATACCATGAACCACAGTTTTATTGTCTAAGGGTTGATGATGTGAGTGGAGCGGGTTTTAAAGCCAGGGCCCACTAACTAAAAAGCCTTGCACATCAGCCATAATTCACTTTCATTGGAACTAGCTTGTGTTTTAGGAGTAGATCCTGTAGATTTTTTAAAAAGTAAACGAACAGAATTAACAGTCGAAAACAGGTCTTCAGAATGTCCTAGTTGTTATATCAAAGAAGTTCTAACTAATCATACCAATCGATATGGTATGCACTGTCTTGTGATTTCTCTTGTTTCCTTTGTTGGCGCGGTGTTTAAGTTTTCAAGGCAGGTAAATATTTTAGGGGATGGTGAATTTTCATTTCGAACTGTATAATTTTGCAAGTGACGAATTGTATTCAAAATATCTCCCCATCATGAGGGTAGATATTTATTTCTTGTACTGTTTAGTTTGTGACTATATTCCAGGAATATAAAGCAAAACCTAGGATGTATCAATACAAAAGAGATTGAATAATTAGGTGAATATTCATCTACAGTCTACAACTTGAGAAGAGCATTTACGATAGGTTGCATAACTGTGTGATGATCCAAATAGTGACTGGAATAAAACTGAAAATCGCTAATACCTCATAAAGCAAAAACAGTGTCAGTATGGACAAACTTCTTCGTTAGCTGTGAAGTCATGATTTATGCATGCGTTGATATGACAATTTTTGATTCTTTTCGTAATGGTAGTGTGGTAGTAATTCCCGAGGTCTTGTAAATGTGATATACTAAGTATTTTGCTTAATAAACGCTGTCGTTGTCGCGATTGAATCCGACTTTTTTTGTCTATCTCAGTGTGTAGTTATAGTGTCCTATCTGGAGGCACATTCTAGTCAAGTTACACAACAGCCAGAACCCAGTAACGCTCCGTCAAAACGAGAAAGTAATACTTAAAGTGAATCTCAACATACAATATGTAACTTTTGAAATCAGCGATTTCGACTTTCACGCCTAGAATGTCTACAAACCTTATAACAAACAGTTTATCTTTACTTTTTTGGATTAGCTACACCTCAAGCTTGCTTCTGTGGTGATGTGATACAGACAATGTGTTTCAATGGAATATTATTCCCACATAATCCCACAGTCCAACACTATGCTAGCAACAGAATACTCGGTATATTTGAACATTATGTTTTATATCGTTTGATGTAAACCAAAAACACACGCTCAGTGATTAGTTGACGAATATGAACAGCGGTTTGATCACTTGAAAATATACCTTGGCTTCCGTGTCTTGCTTTCTGCTGTTACACTTCCAACTTAATTTTTCCTCAGCTAAGATTGTTTTTGTAATCGTTCCGTGGTACGATCTTACATAAAACCTTTGTAAAACTTTTTTTGTACACTAGCTCTCAGAATACATCAATTTATTTTTTCTTCATAAGGGATGGGACCTGGTGCTTCACCGAATCATTTAAGAAGATGGTGTGTACAAAATGGGATATATATTCGTGGAAATGCAGAAGAACCATCGTTCATTGTTGAATTCATTCATGAAGATGAAGCGTATACTCTTTCAGCATCATACGGTAAGTGCTGTTTTTTTCTTTTAATGTTACTAACTGTCACAATAGCTTGATAATTCACTTTAGTGTATAACTTTGTAATAAGATACACAACACTCGGGGAAGTATACAACTATATTTTAGCAGTTATCACAAATAGAATTCCAGACAAGTGAATGATATCGGACGGTTAAAACTCACAAACTAAAGATTTCTGCAACTAATTTAGTTTGCTCAGTCTGTGACAGAATAATGAATCAATAAGGATCAGCATAAAAAGAGGCTGTATGTTTTCGTGCCTCTTGCAGCTTCTACATTCCCTTTCAAGTCGGTTCAGTTTAAACACATCCATCGACATGCAATAAATAACACTGCTAGTAATTTCATGTGATGAGAAAAGTGTAGGGCATGACACTACTAACTTACCGAGAAACATTAAGTTAACGGCCCTTTTATTCCTATATTTCATCATCACATTGGTGTTAATATTTTCACTTGAATTTTAATATCATATCCCTATTTAACAGTAGTTAATTAATTTAATCACTTCACCCCCTGTATTATGTAAAAAGAAAATTAGATGCAATTACATGCTAAAAATTCCATATTTGTATGAAAGGTACCGCTTTAAATAAAGCTATTGTTATTATTATCATCATCCTTATTACTCTTTTTTGTCCTGATGTCAAATGTCGAGTAGACTTGTACTCATTATCTCTTACACATCGCGTTAACCTATTGGAAAGACATAAAAGTACAAAATAATGATTGACTGCTTGAGATGACTACTCGTACACCATTTCACATCAACCAGTTGTGCTTGCTAGCCAGCCAGTCAGATCGAAGTGATATAGATATCGGACGGCGGAGATCAGAATCAGTTGGAACCACTCGATTTCTGGCTAGCTACGTGGGCAGACTGAAATGGCAGTTTCTACAGTCAGTCCAACTTTAAATACTATATTATTCATCTCTCTCTCTGTATGTTTATTTAGATTCGGAATCTGGTTGTATCACTTTCTCTCATGTAAAAACTGAAGAGGAAGAGGGAGTGGAGCAGTTCTAAAATAATCTACTACTACTTCAAGACATGACGGTTATGTAAATATTTTCATTGCATTTTTATTGAAAACAGAAAGAAAAATTTGTTTACTTACTTTTTTAATTAATAAATAACACATGGAATAACTGTGTGCTTTTGTATCTTTTAAGAAACAAAAGAGTGAATATACCGAAATAATGTATAAAGGACATCTGAAGGAGGAGTAAATTAAATAGACTTTACAATGATAGGATCTAGAAGTATGTGTTGTTTAAGTAGAAATGGCAAAGACAATTGATTAACCCAAGTTACAAACGATAGTACATTTTTAGTCATTGATGGATGGGGTTTGTCGTTTAACTGACATAAGGAAATAAATCGATACTGTAGGATTCGACGAATTTCACGTATTATAAGGAAACGCAAACTGAGCGGTGGATTCAACTGGCTTCTTATATGACTCAACCTGTAGTTTGTTGTAATAATAAGAACAGCGAAGTAGATATTAGAATATATATATATATATATATATATATATATATTAAAGACGGTAAGGTAAACAAGATCAGATAAATAAATAACGGATAAAATTCAATCTGCACCAAATAAAGTATCCATTACAGTCCTACAGGAGGTCAATAATCTCGAGCCTCAATCGTTCAGTGATGATGACGTCTCTGACTGCAGCACTGGGTGACCCGCGTTCGAGTCTCAGAAGGGACATGAGTTTCTTCAAGGCTGCAGATACGTCTTACTGACGAGTACCAAGGCTTTCTGTTGATTGTCTGCAACCATCTGATATTAAATTCAGTCCTCATCATTAACATGTTACTAGAGAAGAGATTTTTTAAAAATCGAGTCAAGAAACAGAAAAGATTATCATCATAATATGAATAGTGAAAAAAAGTAATTTGCGATGCACAGATATGAGCAGATTCTACCATATAATCACTAATTAAACAATTGTTATCGTCAGCATCATTTTCTTTTTGTTCCTCACCTTTCTAAGTCATCGAACGACACTTACATGTCATACTTCACATCCAGAAGTTAATCACACCTTGTCAGACTTCATTCCATGCATTCCAAATGACTTTTTTTTTTACTATTCACTCATACTGTGACACATAAATATGTTTTGGACTCGATTTTAGATCTCTTGTCTAATAATATATTAGTGATGAGAACTCAATTTTCTGTTTAATACCAACACTATTTCTTTATGATAACTAGTCAATAGCTTCATCTTTCTTTATCATCTAACGAGCTTTCATTAGTTTATGCTGGAAGTCACAAACTAAGATTGGCATACTGATTGAAGCAACACTAAGTCTTAAGCGCAGAAGAAGTCCTACACGACTAAGATTAAAAAAGGGGAAGTACATAGGGCGTAGAGAAATACTGTTTTACTATGTGCTTGCTACTTGCGAACTAGAAATGTTTGGGGAGGAATTTTCAGTAGCGGTGTTGTTGTTGACCAATCTTACGCCCAACCTCACCTCTTTTCAAGGATTATTATCGGTAAGTAGATGAGGTGAGATTTAAGAGCGCGCCATTCGGAAAGTCGATGCGGGACCACATGCGTGGCTGGCGAGCATTCCACTAGTGAACTGCCGGCGCATTTTAAAAGCTTTATATATTGTCAAGAACAGGAAATGAGGTGTTATTCAACAGTCTTCTCAGTATGTCCGATCCATTTCCATCATCATCTTTGTTGGTCAATAAGGTTGTTGGTTAGTTCTTCCCCACGGCTCCTTGTTGCTTATCCTTTCTGGCTATCAAGCGAAGACAGCTTTTGATAAATGCCCTCAACAGAAATGCTTCTTGTGACGCGTTGCAAATCCTATAATGATTAGTTAATAAGTTATCAGTTTTTTGACATGGTGTCGACTACTTGAATTACGATGCACGTTTGAGATTCATGTCGTACTACTGGCGGAAAAGTGCAACAGTAGCTCATCGCTCTCCTTACGCAATCAGTGGACCACCAGCTCTTACAAGAAGGTATATAGCATGGGTCTCAAAACTATACATGCCGACTCACCCAGTGACGGGAAGAATCCCTGCAGGGACAAAACGCCTCAAGTTCTGATCCCTTCAGATAAGTAGTGTGTAGTTGATTACAAGCTCTGCTTTTAGGCTAAATAAAACTATTTCCCTGATATGTACACCTAAGGAAATTTAAATATCGCTTAAAATTTGGTTATTCTGTGAATAGATGAATTCAATTTCACCAGCTTATTTAAATCAGTGGATCACATTTGGTAGCTAACTTGAGAATTAAATATATCAAGATAAAACAAACCAAACATGTGGAATGGCTCAAATCCTCCTCAATGTGGTAACTTCAATTTTAAACAAGAAATACTTACATGTCATCCAAACTTTGGTTTTCCGATTCATCTGAATTTGAGAGAGTTATCTCCTCAAATATTGAGCATTCATGTAACTGACCAAGAATAATTAATTGGTAAAGCAGTACTTCAAGCTTGTTTACTAATAGTTCAATATTACGTGGACAGGAAACAGATGATACCAAAGGCTTTAAAAGTCTTTCCTTCAAGGAGTTTGTGTTAGACGTTAACTGATCAAGTTGTGAGAGATTGTCTTCGTGTACTAGTTAGTATAAAGACAATAAAATGAAATTTCTTTGGGAAATTAACTATAAGGGCATTTTAAAAGACAAATTCTAAACTGCAGATTTTAGCAAATATCAAAATAATTCACTTTATATTTTAAAACTACTTGAGTTCCCTTGTTTTAAAAATCACCACCATAAACGACCTGGCAGGGTAGACTTTCTCTTCTCTGGAAGTGCTTTCACATATCCATAGCGTATGCCAGGTAAGCCGTATTCACTGCCTTCATGTGACGGAAGTGTTCTTCGCGAAAGAGAAATGGTCAGTGTCTGGCGCTTACAATCGAACTGATAGACATGCAGATCTACACAGCAGAGCTGGAAAACCCTAATTCCAAACCTATGGTGTACATAGGCTCCAGAATTCTAAAGAACAGAGTGACTTATGAAATCAGCTCCTGACACTGCTTCACTTCCCTGTGGATCAGAATTCAAGTTATAGGACAGGGATTGGCCCCCTGAGAAAATTACCTGCTTCGGTCTGAGGCCTCGTATAAACTATGAGATTTGTATGGTGCTTCTCTTGATATCCAAAAGGTACCAAGTTTGGGTTCTAATAATAATGATAAGCTTGCACTGTTATAAATACGTATGTATAGCTACTGAGTTGAATACATAAAATTGACTTCCTTCTTTGGAAGATATATCAGAGTTTTTGGTCTCATTTCGGTACACAATTACAAATTCCAACTGTTGTATTATATGGGCTTAGAAATCCTAGTTATTAGGAAGTGTTAAAATTAGTTTACAATTCTACTGCTAAAGTAACATAAGCGCCCACTGGGAAGTCTGAAGAGTAGGATATCTTATTCCTTTAATTTCCAAACTTGATCATTACTTTCACGGGTACTGTATCATTACCCTTAAAACATAAACATCTTATAATCAAGTGGGGAGAAGTAAATGCAGTTACTGTGACACTCGCACACTTAAAATTCGCTTCCTGACTCCTCACTGCTTTCAAACTCCTCTCCACTTATTTCATTCAAAGCAATTGAGTTCAAATAGAGCCTACTCTCACACAATTAGTGGGACTAATAGTAGTTTAACCAATTTTTCCGGATAATTAATTTGTGGCTAACAAATTAACTGACTGGCTGAGTTTCAACGTAGAACCTTGAAAAGAAGTGTAACAGTCCATGTAGCACACAAAGGTATAAGGAAGGGGAAAAAACCTGTAATGAGCAGAAATATGTGCAAGAAAGAGTGGTAAGATGGAAAAACATTAGCACTTAATGGATCTAGCTAGGAAAGTGAATGGTTTTGCTCCATATCACCAACAGTCTCAAGCGACTGATTGTTAGCAACTCGAAAACTTCAACAAGTAAATGTGCCTCTGGCTCGTGCGCTTCCAATGAGATTGGAAGTCTTTTCACAAAAAATATGGACAATAACTGAATGGACATGCATAATGTGTAAATATACGCAAATTTCTAATCCAACTGAGACATGCATTTCGTAACCTTGAGAATACTTTTTCTAATTTCAAAACTAAATACAACAGGCGTCGATGCATACCGGGAAGTGCGATATCATGCAGAAAGCATCCCGAATAACTTACTATTAGATAAAAGCAATAGATTAGCTTTTACCCAAAGTTGTAATACAGAGATGATACGTTCGCCATTATCTGATTTAATACGACTCAACAGTTGTTCAAGAGTGAACAAAACCTGGTTTCCACTGTTTTCGTTAAAAGATTTATTAGCAGTCAAGCTGTATACACGGTTGTCTGTTTTCATATTAGTTGGTAAAAGGGCACTGCAAAGTTGAAGGCGTGAAAGAAGACTTTCTAAGCAACTGCAAGTTCCATGAGCACGACAAAGCAGTTGTGTTAGAGCTGTTAGTCCAATACAGTTTGAGTGCAACAGACTAGTTGATGTCAATTCGTTCATAAGTTGTTTTATTGCACCACATAGGCCTTCATTACAAAGGACTATAAGAGGTGTATCACCAGTAATTGGATGCTAAACGAAATAAAGTACATCATGAGAGCCATTTCAACTGAAGCGTCAAATAAATAAGGAAGAATGTAAACTGCTCTCCTGTGCCGAGGAATTCATAGTTACCTATGTATTGTCCTCATATCTGCTTATGAAGGAATATTCACAACATAAGAAATAGGTCCTGAAGTCTACTATTTTGTAAACATTCCTTTACTCATCTGACGTTTTGCTGATTATTGGAGAAAGTATTTTTTTCACTTCATTAAACACGAGAACGACTAATCACTAACACGTGTCAGCTAGACGTTTGATGACAGTTTCAAAAAATGTGATCATTCATTTAGGTGGCTGGCTGATAGCTGTTAATTAAAGATGATCACTTTTAGTTGACTCATACTTACTGAGTTGTAAGCCCTAGTTTTTTCCTCTTTCTTTCGTTTTGTAATTTTGGGTGGCTAGGTGAAGATTATTGCTGACGCTTCTAATTATGTTAAGAAATTTGACAAGTAAGTGTTTCAAATTAGCTACTAATTAGACTGCAATATCAAAGTTAAACAACCAAGCATTAATCGGAGGAAATTTCTCATATATCCTGCTATGAGCTACGCGTACTGTGTAGGGCCGATGGTGCTACCCATTTCTCCGAGCAGACGTGCGTGAAGGGGGACTAGAGCTAGAAACCCACTGACTGCAAGTTGAGTGCTTAAGCTAATATTCACACCTTTCAGAGAAAATAAATATGAGTGAGTTTACCACATCTGACACTAACCACGCCTACTCTTTACATGCAGTCACAGATATCACTTCTCAACATAGCTGTGTGACGTTTTTGCAACTGTGGTTCTCCCAATTTGAGTTGTCAGTTTCGGATTGTCGTACATTTCTGTTTGGGCGCTAATAGCTCCATAGATCACTCTAACTTCAAGTAAAACCTATTTGGTTGATAAGACGTTACATTTTTTCTCTACCTGATGCTCATGGTAAGCCAGCAGGTTACCACTGTTTCGTTCTAAAAATGCTCACACAGACTAGGCGGAAAATTATCAGCAGCTGATTCCTACAAGCTTGACGGGAGCAGATAATTTAAATCTTTACGATCATCTCAGTATCTCATCAAAACTGCAGCACAGATGGGATAAAATTCATCATTTGCAAATTATAAAGCCCGAGGTTTCCCTTGGAAAACGAAATTACTCAGATTACAAAATGTGATCTGTCTAACACCAAACACTCAGAATTTACCTCGAGATACGTAACTTATAAGTGGTGACTTGTACATCAAGCCCCACCAGTTCACCCACGTAGTTAACTAGGATTCAGGTTGCTAAAACTGATACAGCTATTTTAGATGATTCAATCCGGGGACATCGCTGATCAGCCGAGCACACATTCACCCAGTGTTTAGAATACCATGATTCGACTAGCAAGGAAACTATTGGCTAATATGAGTGGTTTAAAACTACCCATATCAATGAGTGGTGCATACTAACATGTAATGTCGTAGTGTTTAAGCTCAATTACCTGGAACGTATTATGTGCCAAGTTGAGTCACACTTATAATTTGAGTGCTGGTGATACTAACCAGTTGCCTACGCCGAAGTAGGTGAAGCCAGAGTTGAACCCATCGGCTGAAAACGTAGTGTTTAAGTGAATATGCCAAATTTACGTTATGTAATGCCAAGGTCAAGAGAAGATATATTCAGGGGTGGGATGGACACAAAGAAATGCTACTGAGGGATTTAATCTATAACATTTTATCTTTAGTTTATATACAACAGTTGTATCAGAAAAATTAAATGTTAACTCACACTAGCAGACATGTCCAAACCACAATCAAGAAGGATTTTAAGACCAAGTCCATAGGTTTTCGATACGAGGAAACAGACAAGAAGACCCATTTCTTCACAGTTGTTGAATTGTTTCAGAACTACACCTCTATTTAGATATTCTTTCAAAAGAGATAAAGGGCATTCTGAACTCTTAACTTTCGACAATAGAGTACTGAAATCCATACTGAAGTTATATTCTTCGCCTGGTAAAACTGATTCTGGAAGAGTGAAAATTAAACGTGAAAAAATCTGGAACAAAAAATATTTTCAGACCTAAGTAATCACGTATAATAAACGCATTAAACTGATAGACTGTAACAATTAAACTAAGATGAACCATAATATTGTGTCAGTTCGAAATGTTATGTCCTGAGAAAACACACAGGCACGCTAATGTAACATCTTGGATAGAAGTAAATCCATTCTTGGTTTTAAATTTCGAAATAGTATGGTAAAATAGAAATGGAGTTATAATTCTGAGAAGTACAACAGTTTAAGAAAATTGGTGGAGACTCAGGAATATGAGCACAATAGAAAATTAAGGCATCTGTACCACTGCCAACGATCTTGGGCTCCAGCAAATACGCATTAGAATACAGACTTTAAATAATACGAAATATTAAAAAGACTGTTGCAGTGAAGAAAATTCTCTATTCGACGAAGTCGCCAACTGGGCTGTACATTCGTGAATGTACAGTACAGAGGTGAGAAAGTTCCAGAACGGTTTCCTGTAGATTGTCGAATTACAACGCATAACAAGATTACAAATAGGGATTAGAAACGTAATAACAAAAGTAATAAACAGGAAGTTCGGATAAGAAACATAATCGGATAATAATTATTGAGAAAAATGACTGTTTATGAGGGCCATGATAAAGACAAAGATTGGACGTACTACTTCTGAATACACGTTGTTGGCTTGAACTGTTAGATCGCTCGTGCCTCACTTCAGCTACGCCCAGATGTCTTGGTATCACTCCCTTTGAGAAGTTTGATCGGATTTTGTATGTAACTATGAAGGACTTTTCAAACAGAGCTGAGGGTTCTGAATTCACCACACGTTCTATTACCGAGTTGTAAACGTACCTACGCTTTCCCTCTGCTGGCTAAGCGGGATAGTACTGCCAAGTGCGTTCTACAAGAGGACGCGTGGTACGGCCAGTGCACTCAGCTCCATAGGAGCAAGTGAATTGATATATGCATGTTGGTGTGGCTCAATGCGACAGCTTGTCTTTCACGTGATAACTGAATAGATTCTGGCAGCGGAGTATGCTTTACTGGGAGATTATGAAAGCCATTTTCGCAGAACTTCCGTCTCAGCATCACTTGCAAATTTGACATTCAGCAGCACCATCCTTTTGGGGACGACTGACTGGTTTCAACATAGAACTTTGTACAGATCTGCAGCAGTTCCAGTTGCCATACTCCATATAGCAAACAAAGCAAGAGAAGATAGTAAAGAGAGATTCAAAAAAAAGATAACAGATGGAAATATGAGGCAAAAATAATTGTAATATGGAAGGACAATAGAATCTTATTGGATATTATAAGGCACAAAGAGTGAATGCATCGGCACCAGCTATTGAGAACGATGGTTTCGAACCATATCACTAATTGTCTCCAGGCTTCATTGGTTTTTATCATATCCCGGATTCCAACCACACAGTCTACACCTCCCTGCCTGACTGCCTCAAACTAAATGTTGTGGATTTCGTTGACTGATGAAGCCATGTTTTGGTTTGACCACCACTGGCTTACTCTTTTCCAACCTGATCCATCCTATATCAGTCAGCTAACATTGCCCGTCGAAGAAGGAGATGGATGTCTAGACATGCATGCGTAACACATGTCCTAAACATCTCTCTCAAACAGTGACTTTACAGCATCATCGACTTATTTCCCCTGCCACCTACCTAGCATTCGACAGAAACCTAACCTCAATATTACTCACCCTATTATACCACTTCACACGGGAGATAGAACGCAGACACCTATGATCGAAGACAGCTAGCCAGGCTTTTCATGTTTTCCACTTTTAATGGCCATGTCTCACAGCCATAAAGGAGTACAGAGAGAACCGCTGAGCAGTACATACGCCATTTAGTCGATAGTCAGCCGGATATCACGTCCACTAAGCGAGAGATGGCGTAATTTGGCATATGCGAAACGAGCCTTCTGTATCCGTGCTGAGATTTCGTCAGTGATCAACTCGTTAAGGCTGATGCAACTTCCCAAATAGGTGAAGTGGTGAACACGCTCCACCACTTCACTTCTTGTCTTTAAGCTAGAAGTCAATATAGTCCAGTCCTGTAGCATCATCTTTTATTTGACAGGGGCGAATCACATGCCAAACTTTCTGTTCAAGGTGTTCAAATGACTCTGCTCTATTTTGTCAGCGTCTTCACCTAGGAGGACTATATCACCTGCATATTCTAAGTCAACGAGATTATTTCCCGGTAAAAAGTCAATCTCAGAGTCACTGAAGTCAGTTAGGGTAAATTCCATTAGTACATCTATGATGAAATTAAACAGTAATGGGGACAGTGGGCAGGGCAGCCATGACAGAAACCTCTGGTTGTCATCAATTCAGATGACAAATCTCCATAGGCTCTCACTTGGTTGACTGTATGAGTTCTAGTAGACTGTCTTGATCAGTGCAATGTATTTTACCTTCACAGCCAAACATCGCCATAGTACCTCTCGGTTGACGGTGTCGGGTGCCGCTTTCATGTCAAGAAATATGACGATTGTTCGATGCCGGTAAGAATGCCTGTGTTCCAGACTTTGTCGAAGGATAAAGATATGATCAATACACCCTCTTCCTGGTTTGAAGCTGACCTGGTTCTCACGTGTTTGTTCCTCCCGAGCACCGCTTGGTCTATGTATGTCTATTGAGCCTCGAACTTTAGATAGCATATTGGTCAAGCTAATCCTCCTGTGATTATCACAGGAAGACTTGTCTCTCTTCTTGTAAATGAGGATAATCAATGACTTACACGAGCCCAACGGGACTATCTCTGATGTAAGTCAGGGGACGACCTGGACCTGTTCAGCAGATTTCTTTGATTCCATATTCTCGTTTATGAATCTGGGTGGGAAACCACTTTCCATCAAGATTCTTCAGAGATTTTGTAGATTTCGGTACCAGATTCTTCGATGCATATTTTTCGGGTCCTTGAGGAAAGAGAATATATGAGATTCATCCTTCTGCTTAGAGGAACAGAACTTCGATAGTTAATAGACTGTACGTTCCGCGTAGGCTTTTTGTAGATTTGTCTTCAGAGAGTTATCAACATTTCTTCGCAATGGTTTCGAAAACAAGATAAAGTACTAATATATCAACCCCACAATCACTGACATTAAGTGCCAAAAGGAAGCTCAAGGTGATCCTAAATATAAAGTACTACTCGGTCCTCTATAGGCACCAATTTACATCGGTATACTATATTTAAGATAGGATCTACTTAGTTTAGACATAAGATTCTATTTAGTCTCCAAGATCTTTAAACAAGAAATAAAATTCTTCATATGCAACCTCTGTCGTACTTCCTCAATCCAAAAGTTATGCAGTGATGAGTCCTGCACCAAAATACTTCCCTGCGTAATAACGAAAAAGTGGAATGCAGAGTAACTATAAGACAAGCCGCTTTACAACAAAATACTTCTCCAAAAATGATCCAGAAATTGTTTGCTGCAAACTAAATGTTTGAGGATGAATCATTGTATTCCGGCCCAAATAGTCAACGAGCTTAACATGAGGGTCCCAAGTGGGATCTTTGGCGGGTCCGTGGGTGTGAACTGATGAAGGATTGCTAACTGGGACGAATTAGCTACCCAGTGCTCTCTAGTCTTCAACTGTCTCTAACCAAGGTTGGTTTGTAATGAAATCTACATCGAAATTAAATTTACTTATTTATTTCTACCAAGTTTCTTTGTATTTGAATGTTATTAAATCCGGCTGTTCATAGTAGTATTATTTCTACCACAATGATTCCATTTTGTGTCTTGACATAAGCTTTGATGAATGTCTCACTTCTTAATGTCGTTTGTCACCGGTTAACATGTTAACCTTAAAAAAATCTGAATACCAATACTTGCAGAGTATTCAGGTGACGCGCCTTGCCAAAATTTATGAATTAACTACATAACGCTCTGTTTAAAGTTGTTGATAAGTGATTATTATTGCTTGCCGAGGCTGAAATCTGTTCATTAACTACCATGAAGTGTATGGCCCTTTTTGATCTGCTGTAGCATAATCACTTTAGGTCAATCGAAAGCAGTTTGAAGAGGGTCAAGATAGGTTATCAGTTACCCTAGCTTCTAATAATTATAAAATAATTCCCAGTTATGGATCGATAATGCAATCTAACGCCAAATGAATATTTTGAGAGCTTAAAAAATTTAGTAAGTGATGAATTGATGAAGGTAGTGCATAAAAATTACACTGGACACCTAACTAATCCGAAAATTACTGAAATAATGCTAGACAGTGCTTAATCAGGGATGAGAGTGCTGTAGTAGTAGTAGGCGCTGCAGTGCCTTCTGTGCGTAATGTCAGATAACGCACATTGACAAATTGGTGGGATTACTAGTAATGTGGAAAAGAAAGAGCTCAAAATTCTATATTGCCCACAATTTACTCACTACAGAGAAAAATGTAAGTTCGGAATTTGCGACCGTTAGTTCAGGAGTTCAGGAGAGCTCCTTTGTTAAACTCTGACCACTGCATTATTCGTATTTTACCGAAAGTGTACGGCAAGTTACAACAAAAATTGTTTAGTCATTTAACAAAGAAGATACATGAACGTTCATATTCCCATAACAACATTCTAGCACTAAGAAGCATGTTGTATGATACCAACTGGGAACTATTTACTGACGATAAGTTGGATGCTACTGTCTCTAATGTAACCGATTATCTGAAGTTTTGTTTGGATATTTGCTGTCCATATGAAACACTGTTTTCGAGATTTGACAGAATCTCTTCTTTGCAGCTGAAAAAACTTAGAAGACAAAAAGAGAAGTTGTATAAGAATAGTGATAATACTGGTGTCCGTAAATAAACACCCTTATGAAAACTGAAATAGAAAGATTGAACAGACTATATAATGAAAAATTTTTATCATGTAAAAATCCTTCAAACATTTGGAAACTTTTCAATAAACTTACAAGTAAAAAACAAA